CATCATGCTGCGTCACAGCTGGGAAAGCTCATTGTTTTGTTCAAGTGAATTCTTGGTTGAAGATACTACCAAGTGATATAAAATCCCATTCAATGAGTTGGGATTTGCTACTGATAGTTTATGGTCTTTATGGTATCCTGAGGGCTTGCCCAGAAGTGAAATATGGTCTGCATTTATTAAAAATAGAAAAGCATTGGATAATTTATGTTAATCAATTGGTATTTTGGGCATAGTCCAAGATAGAATTGACTCTACTGTAGCGTTATCTTTAGATGCTAGAAAGCTTTTGATAAAATACACATTAATTTTCTTTAGCAAATGGTGAATAGATCTCGTTTCCTATTTTATTTTATTTTATTAAATGGATGGAAATTTAGTGCCAACAATCTTGCAAGTTATAATCAATCAATTGATTTCAGAAGCATTTGAATTATGGGTACTACCTGCTAGAGTTGCGTACTTTGTTTGCTGCTTTTTGGTTTGATTTGGGAACTCTTAGTAATTGCTAAGGGAACCAAGTAATATGACAAGTATCATGATGGCGAGTTTCAATTAAACATTTTTTTACATACTGATATTTTAGCAATTTTAGATAATAACACCAACTCACTGTATACATTTTATACAGGTCATTCAACATTTCAAGGAGTGTTTGGTAAATAAGCTTAATTTGGATAAATCTTGTTTATTTTCTTTAGGCCCTGAAATAGTTTTTTAATGAATAAATTTATTGGGCGGGTTCATGTTAAAGATGTTGATGTCATGTTATATGATACCATGAAACTATGGAATTTGACTATTTTTTATAAGTGATATTGTAAAGAGTCCATATTATGTTGCTGTAAGAATTATTTTGAAAGATTGGAAAAGCCTGTACAGATAGCTGCTGCCTCATTTAGCAACTGTTCATAGTTATGATGGTGATCAAAAGGTAACTTTGCATATCTGTAAAATAAAGGCAAACTGGTGTAAGATTGTAAGCACAGTCATGGTTTCACTTAGCAACCACTTTGCTTAATGACTGAGTTGCTGGCCCTAATTGTGGTCACTAAATGTAGTATTCATGATATTAAGATTTACATTCAAGAGATATGTAAATTATTTAGTTTTGAAAAGACAGTTTTATCTATTAATAAAAAATATAATCTTAGGCAATCATTAATCATTATAAGGTATATTTAGAAACCTGTTTCTAAATATTTCTTAACCAACTGAGCTAAAGTGTCACTGAAAATTAAATTTAAGAAGTTCAGATTTAAAATTTTCTGCTGACTACATTAGTCAGGGTTCCAAAATTATCCCCAGAGGAAACTTAAAAGCATTAGATCACATTATGGGCTAATGAAGTGTAAAATTTCAGTATAATGATAGAATTTTGTTCTTGCCAATTTGACAGAATTTATCTACATGTAGAAAAGCTTCAGGGAAGCCCTTACCAATAAAGCTAAAGTCAAGTCCAAGGAGATACTTTTTAATATCAAAGAAATAATTATGATTGCCTGGTATCTGCATGGTCCTGATCTCTTTATATATGAGGGCAATTTGAAAATAAACCTCCATTTGGTTATCAATGACAGACACTCACAGATGCAGAACTTGCATTATACACATTAGAAAACTACAACATTACATTACTTTTTGAAATAATCGCCATTCAAATTGAAGCACTTGGTCATAATGTCTTACAAGTTTGAAATTCCTTCTGCAAAAAAAAAAAAAAAAAATCTCCCACCTGGGAATGAAGCCACCCTATAACAGCATCGTGAAGCAGACTGTCATCTTCGAAGCGGTGTGACGCAAGCCATGTTTCATTTAAAAAACTGTTTCATTTTCAATTGATCTAGCAGACGAGTCAACTGCAACACAAGCTTCTCCTTCCACTCCTCACTGCCTACTGAACTACTGCACAAGGCGCCATGGGATGGGCATTGCTATCCCCGCCTATTTCTCGCATATGCTCAAACAGAGGTTTATTTCTGAATTATCCTCATAATTAATTGGGAGAGAATTGTCTTTCAAACACTATAAATTAATCAACTAAACTGAAGACTCTCAAAAAGGGGTTAGTTTTATCTCCAAACAGCCCTTGTTTATTTGTAGGGCTCACAGTCTGCCATATTATCCAAATGCCACAATAAAAATCAGTTGCCCTATTCCTAATATCTAGTACCTCAGTGAAAACTGATGGGGTTGAAGCATGACTCTCCCCAAATTCCAGTTTCCATTTTGAAATGCAAATCTGGATTCCATGGAAATCATAGACAAATCTTCCCAGCACCTTCCCCACAGTTGCACACAGTCCCAAGGCTTCAAAATCAAACTATTTAATGCAAGGTTTCCCCCACCCCATCCTTATCCATACAATTTGTACCTCAGGAGTAACAAGATGAAATGATACATGAGAAATTATCTCATTAAAATTTCACCAAGCAAAGATGACTAGGCAGGATTTGGTACAGCAGATACACAACTCCAAGAATCATTAGATTCTACGGTTTTCACTGAGCTAATTTCCTTCTTTTAAACAACTATTGCTGTTATTTTTAGACAAAGTACTACTCTGTGTATGTGCGCGTGCTTGACTTGAAAAAATGGTCAAAGATTAAACACAAGGCTCCTTAAAGCATTAAACCGATCACTATAAATATTTTATTCACTGCTACAAAACCTTGACAAGTTATGCTGACATCAAACTCTACTAGCTTGCTTGGCTAAAATTAATCTGCTTTTTAAAAAGGTATTTATTATTTCCACAGTGTTTTCAAATATGAACAACCAGAATGATACTGGCATTAGTTTTCTCTGTAAGATCCCCAAATCACTCTTAAAACAAAATGTAATGGTGCTTTCTCTTTCTTTCCCCAGTATCTTTAGACATATGTGAAAGTGCTTGCAAATGGACCATAGCATCCAGCTCATAAAATTGGCTGGATTTTTATTAATCTGGGCCTCATACTATAAGCCATAATACCTCCTCTTAAAGGGGGCATTCTATAGTCCCTTTTAAGGTGGCTTATAAGCTGTTGACCAGTAGGAGGCAATACATTATTTTTATCATCTTTGGGACTCTTCAGGCATAAGTATCCTTCCCATTAAAATGGGTTGTGCGCTGCCTCCTAAGTAACTAATCTAAGATTAGTTCAAAACCAAGAATCTTCCCAAGACAGAAATTAAATGTGATGAAGTGAAATGGGTCTGGGAAAATTAAGATATATGATAACCCTAGATACCTTACATTTTCTAGAAGTCTTATCAACAAGGTGATACTGTTCAGACAGATAAATACAGGTATCAGATACAGGTATTTCCCAGACTGAGCTGCAGAAAAGCTTGAAATCCATTACCAAAACTAGTTATCTCTGCCATGGGCCTTGAGAGAGTTAATGGTAAGATGAATTTTTGAGAAGAAGGCAATAGCAACGAAGTGCTATGTTGTTCTGTTTGCTTGCAAAATTGAAACTAGGAGAAGACTGGCCACAGGTCAAGAATACAATTTTTAGTTTTATGTTAGAATAAAGAACCACTCGCACAGATAGAGCAATAAGCTTATTTGAGTACTAGGACAAGGGTATGAGATAGGAGAAGATGAGTTTTCATCTAGTAGTCCTGAATCTGGGTTTTTCACTTGGCCTATTTTTGATTAAATATGTATCTGTGCTTAAGAAACAAGGGGGCTTTTTTTCTCCCTCTTGTGCTTTAGATTCCATCAAAGCTTTCTTTCTATTCAAGATATAGTGTAGATGAAAGGGGAGAAGTGGTTCTATTTTCATCTGTTTGGTAAGATACTAAATTTTTATTTCAAATATGATGAAATGATGCTTTTGCATTCACTGATAACTGGGCTAAGCCCATTCTCTGCATCCAACACTACATGAAGTTCAGTAACTTTTAATGGGGTACCAAAATACAGAATAACAGAGTTGGAAGGGACCTTGGACGTCTTCTAGTCCAACTCCCTGTTCAAATAGGAGACCCTAAGCATTACAGACAAATGGCTATCTAATCTCTTCTTTAAAATCTGCAGTGTTGGAACACCCACTGCTTCTGAAGGCAAGCCATTCCACTATTCTCACTATCAGGAAATTTTTCCTTATTTCTTGGTTGAATATTTTTTGGATAAGTTTCCATCCATAACTTCTTGTCTTGTCCTCATGTGCTATGGAGAATAAGTTGCCCCCCTCTTATTTGTGGCAGCCTCTCAAATATTGGAAGACTGATATCATCTCATAACATGATATAACAGTCCTTCTCTTTGTTAAACTAGACCAGTGGTGGCGAACCTATGGCACAGGTGCCAGAGGCAGCACTCGGAATCCTCTCTGTGGGCACACATGCCGTTGCCACAGCCTTGCCTCCCCCCTCCTCTCCAGCAGCCCACCTGAAGGAGAGTCACTCTCAAGTGTGGTCCACATGGAGCAGCACAGCCAAGGACATGGCAGTCAGGCAGCGTAGACAAGATTCTGCCCTCACACCCCATCATGCAGTTGATGCTGCAGGGCGCGGGCAGAGGGTGTGGCTGCCATAGTGCTGCTGGGCTCCCTGGGTGATCTGCGGCGGCCCCTGGAGGCAGTGAGTGGTCCTGTGGGCAGGCGGGGCAGGGGGTGGTGGGCAGAGCAGGGGCGAGGCAGGGGGTGGAGCAGGGGTGGGGCCAATTTTTGGGCACTCAGTCTCTAAAAGGTTTGCCATCACTGGACTAGACATACCCAGTTCCTGCAATTGTTCATCATATTTTTTCAGCCTCCAGACCCCTAATCATCTTTGTTGCTCTTTTCTACACTCTTTTGTATTGTGGTGACCAGAACTGGACACAGTATTCCAAATGTGGTCCGCCTTTCTCTATATTATTTCAAAACTCTATAATCAAAAGTATACTATTATTTATTATTTAATAAGAGCTCCTGCTGAATTCAAATATCTACTATATTTGATATATAGTATATACTACTATTAAGATGTTACGATGCACTGACTTTCTCCTCTCTTCCCATTAATTCCTTTAGCGTGTAATGCTGCATCAAGCTTACCTGATCTTTGACAGCCTCAAAGTGCAACTGCAGGAAAACAGCAGTGCTTTCACTCTATGATGACTTCCTGTTGAAATCAGGTAGCCAATCATGTTAGTCTACAGGATGACATTACAAAGATAACCACTGTGGAAACAAAGAATGCATTTCACATGGAAAGATAACCTGTCTCTCTACCATTCCAGCCCAGACAATATTAGGATGTTCAAAGCAGTTATCCCTTACCTTCATCAGGTGCTTCATACCTCAAGGATAACACATTTTTTTCCACAAGGCACTTCATATCATTCTGAACTTTCTAACTGGCAATTACAATAGACAGAAAAGGATTCCATGCATACATTGCACAGAAGCGTCTCCCAGCTCCTGGAATGACAATTGAGAACTCAGAGCAATGAAATAGCTTCCTTTTTAGAAGCATGAGATTGCTTTGTGAAACAGCTTTAAAGGAGGAGTTTACACAAACTTATGTTAAACCAAGCATCTCTGTAAAACTTTACACTAAACATCATTCCCCTCCCCCTTTTCAAGGAATTGCTTTAAGGACTTGCTCTGAAGCACCATTTTGCTTTCCCATCTGAAACACTGCAGAGGCCTAATTTTAAATGTCAGGTCTTGTATGTGAAATCTCTATGTAAATATAAAACAAAGTGGTCATTTTGAGGTCATTCCTTTTTCTTTCCCCTTTCCCTTTTTTAGGCTGCTGTCTAAAATAAACTGCAAAATGGAAGAGATGGGTGCAGCATGGGATACGGCATGTAAGAGACCCATGCAAGGAAGGTGCAATTCGTTCAGCACTTTTGTCAAGCACTGGGGAGATGCAATCTCCCTCAGCATGCCAAGTAAAGTGTCAGATGATACGTTCTGACTTTTGAAGCTTCAAAGGGGGTGGCTGAGCCACCTTAATCAGCCACTTCATTTCAAGGCAAGCCCTTTCAGTTTTTGTAAGAGCCTCTTTGGAAAGGCTTGCAATATTATTCTAAGATTATTGAAAGATTAACATCACACTCTCCAATGAATGTATTCATGTGCACTTTTCACTAGATCATACACTTAATCACACCAGATAATAAGGGCATTTTGCTCTATGCCTGCAGCGCAGAATTCAATACAACTGGCTTGGTGAAGTGGGCTTCTGACATATTGTCAGAAACTCTGTCATTCACTTCAAAAATATTGTAAAACTTTGGGATATAGGACATTTTGCAGAAACATTTTGGATGTTTCTCATCAATAAAGTGAAAAATAAATCATTAAGGCAGGGGTGTCAAACTTGCAACATCATATGACACGTCGCAACATATTGTGACTTTTTTTCCATTGCTGGCAATGGGCTGGGTATGGCTTCTGCATGATTCATCCAGCCCGCGGGCCAGCAGTTTGACACCCCTGCATTACGATTTGCCTTCTAGAGACCTTAGACATACTGCTATTGAGCAGTGTAGCCAAAAGCTATCTGCAGTAACTTTCCTGGATCTTAAAGACCATACCATGTGAGCAAAAATTCTCTTTTTTTAGCACATCCCATCAAATCTTGCATTTCAAAGTACTTGTTGGATGCCAACAGTGGAGTTAATGTGATTCCTATTTCATTTACTGATAGTTTGATTATACATTTAAAAAAACCTAATAAAACATTTTTTTAAAGTTAGTTTGGTATATCCTGAGGATACTTTCAGATGGATGTTTTGAGACATTTTGGGAACAGCTCTGAGCTCGTTATTCCCATAGTTCCCTCTGTTTGCTGCTGAGTCAAGATTGTTAATCACAAGCCAGCAAACTCTAAGGATGAGAGGCAATGGTATGTTTGCAGGATTTTAATCAAAAGCACTTCAGATGCTGTAGTAGCTACTTATATTTTGGCCTTCCTATAATGATGCCCCATTGTGACGAGAATCTTCTTCCTCCTGTCTTGAAAGACTTACAACTTTTGAAACCTCAATGCCACACTACTGAAACTTATACAAGAAGAAATGCTCTCAGGCAGTGTTTCTCAACCTTGACAATTTTAAGGCACGTGGACTTCAACTCCCAGAATTCTGGGAGTTGAAGTCCACATGCCTTAAAATTGTCAAGGTTGAGAAACACTGCTCTCAGGACATGCCAAATATTGTATGAGTTGCTCCAGGTCAATGCTTTACAGGAAATTCTCCTTCCTTTATTCACTAAATAAGACTTTTTGTCTAGGCTGAATACAGAGATGAAACTGCCATTGTGGGAACTGGAGGAAGCATATAGACATTCTGTTGAAAGGTTGATTGGACTACAAATCTCATCAATGTTGATCACTTTGAATTAAAAAGGGAAGGGACAGGACATTTTTAAGACAATTACTAGAAAGCTTTCTGTGATGTTGGTTAAAGCATAACTCAGCAGCCACATTGGGCAGGCCTGTTATAATAATGTTGACTATTTGGCCAAACAAAGAGAAGGAAAAAAAACTCGTTTGGAGTTCTCCATCTTTAGCTAAAGTCACCCAGGGAGAAGCTGCTGCAGCTGGATGGTTAACTTTGAGTTCTCCCCCCCTCCTTGTAAGCTTTGGCTTATCTAAGGGAACATCATTAAATGGTTTCAAACACTGTACTTAATTTAGAAAATTGGCTAGATTTCTAAAAGCTGCAGAAACTGTTTTTGCTCCACTGTTTTCATCTGCCATTTTGTTTTTGAATTGGGCAGTTAGCCAGACTCATTTGGCATCTTCTCACTATCAGAATAATTAGCCATCTATACATGATTCTGCTCATTAGTGGAAATATCTGCTTTTGCTGGCAGAACATCCAACTGCTCATCCATCAGATTCAACTTTTCTTCTCTGACTCCAAAGAATCCTAGAAGGATGGTATGTAAATATTTAGAATCAGCCTTTTCTAAGTGTATGTGCTATTTTTTTTTTTTAGCAATATGTGAAGAACAACCAAACAAGAGAAAACAGAAGTCATTTTCAAATATAATGTAAGGACTATGAAAATCATTGCGTGGAGCAATAGGTAAAACACTGAAAGAACCCATCCACGAACCTCAACTGACAATCAGAAGACCTGATGGGAATTCCTTAATTTCACAATACACTGACAGGTTCAGTCACAATTTCAACTGTGAACTAGAGACCAAGCAAGATCACAAATACAAATGAATTCCTAGATGCATGGCACTCTGATGAATCAGCTATTAGCAGATATATTGAGAACAAGCTCCTTATGCAAACTATTCAAAAAGGAAGCAAAGGTCAGGAAGCATACCTATCAATCAGTACTTAGATAAGCAGGAACCAGCATCAGATGAACAAGAACAAGAAAGAAGCAATTCTAATGGAAGAGACTATTTGGGATAAATAGCAGGATTCATGGTGTTGTCTGATCTTGGTTCATAGAGCAACAAGGATCCCACAGAAACAATTTACTACCCAAAAAGCAATCAAGAAACAATACCCCAATTAAGATCTATAAAACAAGCTATCATATTTGATCAGCCAACAAACTCTATTCTCCCTTGCACTGCTTACCTAGCTGGTAATAAAATTTATGCAGGAAAAGAAGCAAAAAAAAAAACCAAATACACAACAGTATGTGGAGAATCATGACCCTTTGGCTGAATCTTCTTGTGCTCTATATTATCTCCCTACCAGAGTTGAAGTGTTATTTAGATTACAAGAAGCAGATCAATGCTGGCAACAATATCAGGCATGCCATGTAAAGAATCCAATCTTTTACTAATCTGCAAAATGCAATGCTGTTTGTCCTAATATCTTGGAGAACAGGAACAGGAACATATGTGATGGGAAGTAAAAGGAACATTAATAGGTCAGGTTTCTCTCACACTGTGGTTGTATCTAGTCATATCTTTGCCCACTTTCTGTATTGGTAATCTCCAGAAAATGGGAAAGAGAAAGTGTGATAACTCAGCATAAACATGCATGGCAATAGCAATAGATCTTAGGCTTATATATTGCCCCATAATGCTTTACAGCAGTCTCTGGGTGGATTACGATGTCAGCATATTGTCCCCAACAATCTGGGTCCTCATTTTACTGACCTCAGAAGGAGGGAAGACTGAGTCAACCTTGAGCCCTGTCAGGATCAAACTCCAGGCTGTGGAGAATTTGCCTGCAATACACACTTTAACTACTGAGCCACCAGGGCTCCAGAGAACACATAAAGCAGACATGGAGCCTAATAGCAGCTTCAAGACTAAATACTTTATTAGGACATGTTACTTATTTGCCAAAGCTTGGGAATAAAGAACTGGAATACCCCACATTAACTAAATTCTTATAGAACATTAAGGTATGACCAACTGAACAAAACACTCTTTTCAAATAAACTGAATACACCATAAAAAGGGTAAGCCATCATTCACCTTATGCTGGAAGGTGAAAATGGGAAAAAGGACATTTGCTGATATAATATGGGTTTGTCCCACTATTGCATGTTTTTAGCATATAGATCAGAATTAAAGATGAATTATACACCAGAATCATGAAAGAATAATTTATCAAGCATTATGGAGAGGGACATGTAATAAAAATATAATGTTTCAATCTTTGAAATACAACATAACCCCAGATTTACAATATTGGGTCATTGCTTTTAGTTTATATACTTATTTCCTATCAATATAATACATGGGGACACTGTGGTACAATGGCTTAATGATGTTGGAATTGTCAGCCAGAAATGGTCTGCAATCCAGTGGTTTGAGCCCAGTTTCAGGAGATGGAGTGAGCTCCCATTGCTTAATCCCTGGCTGCTGCCTACCCAGAAGTTCGAAAGCAGGCAATATTGTGAATAGAATAGAATAGAATAGAATAGAATAGAATAGAATAGAATAGAATAGAATAGAATAGAATAGAATAGAGTAACAGAGTTAGAAGGGACCTTGTAGGTCATCTAGTCCAACCCCTGCCCAAGAAGGAGTCCCTACACCATTTCTGACAGATGGCAGTCCAGTCTCTCCTTCAAAGCCTCCAGTGATGAAATACAAACAACATCTGAAGGCAGTCTGTTCCATTGGTTGATTGTTCTCACTGTCAGGAAATTTCTCCTTATTTCCAGATAAATGGGTGCCACTTTGGTGGGAAAAACTCATCTGTGTTTGTGTGTGTGGAAAGCAGAAGCCAGCACTGGACCTGGCCAGACATAAGGCAACACAATATGAGGTGAGGAGAGACCTGTGGAAGAACTCAGAAGAGCCAGCAACTTGAGCACCCCATTCAGATGGTGTAAAGTTAGTTCACCCCCCCCCCCACCTTGGTGCAGCAAGGATAGGCACATAAGCCCCAAACAGAATGAACTAGCAATCTAGGCCGTCGGGATTGCATTGTGCCTAGCATTTGTAGATTTCTCTGACATTGTATGCTATATGCTAAATTATAAATAAAATAACATAATAGAAAGGCTGATCAGGATTATTCTGGATGGTCAAGGTTAATGATGTGTTTAAAAATTTGACTGATGTTTTAAAATGTGCTATATTAAATTTTCAGTTTCCTATTTTTATTGGTTTATGCTTTTTTGTCTGTTTTATTTCTTTCATTTTTTCCCCATAAAGCAGTGAAAAATATAGTGTTCCAACTCTATGATTCCCTGAATATTTAGACCTCATTTTTTACTCCAACTAATGTTGAATATATGAAGGTAAGAGGTTTCTATCGCTGCATTAATTCTGCCACATTTGTCTGGAGCTTTTGGGTAATTTAGCAAACAATGCCCTTGACAATAGTTCCTTTTCATCAAGATTCAGAAACAAGGTAATTAATTAGAGGCCAGAAGGGAGCTGTTAAGTGTTCATAATGATCCAGGATTGAAAAAATTACAGCTACAGAATGGATGCTTTAGATCAGTGTTTCCCAAACTTGACAATTTTAAGGCATGAGGACTTCAACTCCCAGAATTCCACAGCCAGCAACGCTGGCTGTGGAATTCTGTGAGTTGAAGTCCACATGCCTTAAAATTGTCAAGTTTGGGAAACACTGCTTTAGATAGACAATACTGAATTAACAGAGGCTTTAAAATGAAGTATCTTTAACAAATCACACAGAGGAAGGAACATTTCCAATTTCTTTAAATTAGTTCATCTAAAAATGAGTATATATTGATATTCATTTTGATAATTGTCCCAATAGAAGAATATTCAGCCTTGATTCTTATAACAGGCAGCATGGAAAATTTGAAATAATTTTTAGAACAGACGCTTGTAGTTCTTTAGAACTCAACAAATTTGATGAGGCAAAAAACTTCAATACTCCTTAAAAGAGTAGAGAGAATTATGTACCCACCAATATTGTTTTCTTTTTAGAATGGCTATTCATGAAAGAGTTGTTGGTTACAACAGAAACATTGTATGGGGGACTTCTGGTTTTTCATTGTGGCTGCTGCGGATGCTGGAAAGTGAGCTCCGTCTTCCGATTTTGATTTTGCACCACTGGGGGACCCTGGAAAGGGTTGAAAGTCACCCTTAGGGGCGACCAGAAAGGAGGGAAACCCCGCTTGATCGTGGGAGGGTGGTAGCCCTTC